AAACTTCCATCCCAGAGTTTCCACATCCCACAACCAAAACCTTCTTCTCTTTAAACATTTCGCCACTTTTGTAGGAGCTTGTGTGGAGGACGGGCCCACCAAAACAGGCAATTCCATCAATCTCCGGCATAACCTCCTCCGCATTCTCCCCGGTCGCCACAACAAGCCATGGGGAAGCATACTCCGTTGTCTCCTCCTTCTTTCCTCCGGTAGTCCTCACCCTCCATACCCCACACCGGCTATCAAATTTCGCATCCTCTACGGTCTGGTTAAAAACAGGCTTTAGGCCAAAATGTTCGGCGTAGGACTCAAGGTATTGGACGAACTGTTGCTTTGTAGGGTAAGTAGGGTAGCTTGAAGGGAAAGGCATCAATGGAAGCTCACAGAAATGTTTAGGGAGATGAAGTCGAAGACGATCATACGTTTTGAGCTGCCATAGTGAGGCTATGCAATTGGAACGTTCAAGAATCAAACTAGAGACGCCTCTCGACTTCAAACATGCCGCCGTGGCCAGTCCCGACGGTCCGGAACCGACAATGATTGGTCCGGCGATCCATATGCCCATAGATTCCTCCATATACGGATCATGAACTCTCTTGCCTAACGTTTCTGTTAAAAATTCCATAGAAGAGAGAAAGAGAGCCGGGAGAGATAGATCTAAAGATATACAAGAAGTGAAGTAGGTGACTGATATTGGATTTAGGTTTTTAAACCCATGTGGTAAACAAAGATTATACTCTCTTTTGTGACTCGTGGATAATTATGTCCCGAGAATCGTGGTGAAAAGAGAGAATGAGTTTCATTGATCTTATCTACAAAAAATAAAATTAAGAAGAAATAAAGCAAATAAGAAGAAGATCGGATATTCCCTAGAGATCAGGGAAAATCTATGGATGAAATATTAATCTTTAACTCGAAGATTTTGCAGTATTTGTTGTAAAAAATCTTTCACAAATTGAGATGAACAAAGATTTCGGATTTGGGATGTTGAGAGAAGAATAGTTTTGCGGTTCTGAAACAAACACTTGGGGGAAGAACCAACTCTATATATGAGTTGAAAAGAGAGATGAGATGGTGATGGACACATGACGTAATTAAGAAGAGATGTTC